TGCCCCTCCACTGCCCCCAATTGTTTCCTTCATTCCCTCCCATTGCCTCCCTTAACCATCCCATTATCCCCATGTAACTCCACATTGCCCCACCATTCCCCTCCCAGTGTTCTGCCCCCCTTCACCCCCCCCATTTCCCTCCCTTTGTCTCCCATTCCCCCCATTCTCCCCCCACTGCCCGCTCATTTTCCCCCACTGACCCAATTACCACACTGCCCCCCTTTAACCTCCCAGTTCACGCCCCATTTCTCCACTGTCCCCTCCAACAGCTCACCTGAAACCCCCTCGGACCGGAGGCCCTTCCCCCATGGGCCCCCCCCGGGCTGCCATGGGGTGACACATGTGGGACCGCACAGAGGCTGGGCGTCACTGCGGGGACAGCGGGCCAGGGAGCGCCTGAGGGGAGACCAGGTGAAGGGGGGACATGGGGAGGTTTGCGGGGAGGGACATGGAGGGGAATTGAGGGACAGAGAGAGGAATGGGGGAGATGTAGGGATGGCGGGGGGGAGGGATGGAGAATATTTAGGGGCACAGGAGGTGTGGGGGGATCTGGGAGGATCTGGGGGATCGGAGGTCACTCACCATCCGAGGGGCGCGGGGATGGCAGAGCCAAAACCTGGGGGGAGAGCGAGAGGGTCAGTGAGGAGAGTGGGGGTGTCCTGGGGGAGGTGTCACCTGGGAGAGGGGGTCACCCACCGGGGATCTCGCCCCTTCCCGGCTCTTCTGCTGCCGTAGCTCCTTCAGCAGCTGCTTCACCGTCTGGGGCGGAGCGGCGCGCGGGGGACCTGGGGGTGTGCAAGGGAGGGTTCGGGGGTCCCCGGGCTGCCGGGGAGCCCTGAAAACTCCTAGAACCCCGCCAAACGCCCAGGCATTCCCCAGATCCCCGTGTCTCATCCAGACCCTGTTCGGGGGTCCCCCCTGAACTCCTGAGACCCCTCAAACCGCCGTGTCATAACCGCGTACCCCGAGACCCCTAAACCCTTGGGCACTCCCCCAGCGAGGCAGGAATCCCCCTGTCGTGACGTCACGGGGATTCCCATGCGTCATCACCCGCCCCCGCCGTCACCGCCCTCCTCCCCGGGGAACCCCCTCCTCCCCCGCGGGGAGAATCCAGCGGGGAGGCCCCGGGAATCCCCCCGTCCTTGAAGGCCAGTGTCCCCCCTCCAGTTCCCCAGCTCTCCTAAAGGGCCAGCAGACCCGTCTTGGCTCCTTAAAGGGCCAGTGTGCCCTAAAAGTGAGACTTAAAGGGCCAGTGTCTCCTACAAGCAGCTCTTAAAGGGCCAGTATGACCCAAAGCAGCTCTTAAAGGGCCAGTATCTCCCAAAGCAGCTCTTAAAGGGCCAGTGCCCCTAAAAGACCGTCTTTAAAGGCCAGCGCTCTCTCCCGGGTTTTAAAGGGCCAGCACCTTGCCCCAGAACTCTTAAAAGGCCAGCGTCCCCTCAAAGCGGGTCTTAAAGGCCACGCGACACCCCGCCCCCC